AAACTAACGATTGAATATTAAAAATTATTAGTGGTTGAATAAAATATGAATTTGATAGTTAGGATGTGCAATACTATTAAATATTACCATATTGTTTTTAGTAAACATATCTTCATTATAAACAAAAAAAACAAAAAAAATTGTTAAAAAATAATAGAGTTTGAGCTTATTTCTTTTTTTACATTATAAAGCGAAGCTAGTTTATTTTACATGTCATTGCAGTTTTTAATGTGCTTAATGAATTTTTAAAATAATTATTTCTAATTTGCAATTCGCTATTTATTTTAGATGACAGTCAATGGCAAACGATCATACGAACCAGCAATGGACTACTCACAGAGTATAGTGTCTCCTACCAAAATTTACTTCCATCAACGTCTTACTTATTTAGAGTTATTGCTTACAATCGCTATGGAATCAGCTATCCTGTCTACTCAACAGAAACGGTACTATATTTTACTATTATTTCTACTACCTCACTACTTCGTAACGTATTGTTAGAAATATAATGTATTATAGCGTTCTCGAATAATTGATTTCTAACCTTTACAAGTCCCTTGATATATACTACTCTTAGTTTTTAGTAAACATGTTTTAATATTTTTTAGATTTTAACTCCATCGAAGCTTTACATGGAGTACGCTTATCGTCAGCAATATCCGTTTTATAGACAAACATGGTTCATGGTTACATTGGCTGCTACTTCTGTAGTCATCATCATCGTGGTGATAGCAATACTTTGTGTAAAAAGCCAGAGTTATAAATACAAACGTAAGATAAAAAAATTTATTCTCAATTTTGCAACAATGTACAATATGATGTGTAATCTAATATATTAAATATAAAATATAAAAAAAAATACAAAATAAAATTTTATATATATATATATATATATATATATTATTCAAGTTGTAAGGCATAATTTGTATGTTTATATAAAATATTACGTCTTATGTAAATGAAAATGTTTCATTTAATGGTAATAATTAAAAATACGTGTAGATTTAAATACACATTTAAATCGGAAACATTTTAGAGTCCTTTAGAGTGATTTGTAGATATTACATTAAAGTTTATTGTTTTCAATTTGTTGGAATATTTTGTTCGAATAACGTTGTATAAAACGATGGTTTTCCTTCATACAAACACTTATTTTGAGATATATCGGGTTTGTCCAAATGGAGAAAATGCATTTAAAAACATTTAAAAGTTCGCAGTCGGATTGATAGATGAACAAATTTTCAATTATATTTGAACTTAATATATTAACAAACAGATGACTACACTATAAGTATCATAAGTAGCAAGTTAACGTGATAGTAAAGTAATATTTGATAATTGCCATTAGAAGAAGCGCAAAAAACGTTGGAAGAGTCGATGGCGATGGACATTGACGATCGGCAGGAGTCGGACTTGGAGCTCTATCGCTCGCGTCAGACAGGCGGGCTGTCAGGTATGGGTAATGGTTGCGGCACCCTGGGTAAACGCAGTACGCTAAGCCGGAAACCGATGCATCCACCTCCGCCACCGGTTTATGGCAAATCGCCACCAAGACCGTCGCCGGCCTCTGTCGCTTACCATAGTGACGAGGAGAGCCTCAAAGGCTACGACGAGAATCCGGACGACAGCAGTGTCACGGAGAAGCCTTCGGAGATTAGCTCTACGGATTCGCAGGTAAATTTTCCTTTCCAATTTATCGACTAATTGTAGGCATTTTGTTTAATTAGGTTCAAGGGTAATTCAAGGCAAATTTTCTTTGATTTTTTCCATCAATTCATGGATTTTTTTCGAGATATTATCTTGCTACATATCAAAGTTGATATATGACTTATTTTTTTCTCATAATTTTGATCCGTTGCAGTTTAAAGATATCGGTAAAACGTGAGGTTTTAGGAAAGAGAGCAAGTTCAGTTTAAAAAAAAAATGAAAAAACTTTTACATCACACTATATCAATGCAAATCATATTCATTCTTTTTTTTTTTCTTATATTTTCTACAATTTTAACAAATTACTATTAATAATGAGTTTTAAAATTTTACAGTTAGTTACCAATATTTTGAATTGTTTTACAATAATTATAATAGGGGTGTGGGGGAAAGTTTGTTTTTAATTTATCATGTAAAAATAGCATATTTCATATTCCAACGTTATAAGCATTTTAAGTGTAATTTTCATTTCATTATTTTTTAATTTTGAAAGTATGAAAAAGGTAAGTTATTGCGGTAACATTTAAAAATGTTAAAATTATAAATATATTGATATTCTGTGCTCGTAGGCTAAAATTTAATGCCAACTAAAAGCAGCATGTCAATTCAAATCAAATCAAACTAAAAACAGCAAGTACATTAAAATTAAAAATTTTTCAAATAAACTTGAAACAACAATCTATACATAAGAAATATTCTATTATATTTGTACATGGAGTCCAAACTTGTATTGTAAACAGCCTGAATCAATTAAATATAAGCATGAAACAATTGCTTTGCCATAAATAAGCATTTATATAATAATGTTGCTTATATATATATATATATATATGATTTGATATCTATTCTACCATCATCTTCTGGGAATTATCTCGAGCAGCTTATGACAAGCAAGATTGTAATGCTTAAAAAATAAATTGTAGTAGATTGAATAACTGAGGACTAGGCGGATAAGGGGAAGAAAGGCAACTGAAAATTTGGTCGATTTCCTTACAGGCATCGGAGAGTGAAAACGAGAGTGTACAGTCGGATCCGCACTCCTTCGTGAACCATTACGCCAACGTGAACGACTCACTGCGGCAGTCGTGGAAGCGTCAGAAGCCCGTTCGTAACTACTCATCGTACACGGACTCGGAGCCGGAGGGTAGTGCAGTCGTGAGCTTGAACGGCGGACAAATAATTATGAACAACATGGCAAGATCGAGAGCCCCGCTGCCAGGATTTTCCTCCTTCGTCTGATGATCTCATGTAGTTTATTAACTTTTAAAGGATTTTAGCTGTGTTATAAGAGTAAAGGATAAGCGCCTACTCGAGCTTAAGAGTAGGGTGGTGCGGCTTTGAGCTCGACAATCATGACTAATTGAGTCAAGGTCGAAAAGTTTATTATCTGTGTAACTCGAGGCTTGGGATGGCCGATGGAGTCGACGCCCGTCTCGGATTATATCATGATATATGATGATTTCTAGCTCTCCATCCATTAATGGGACAACGCAAGGAACTGTGTGTATAGCCTTGGCCGCGTCCAAATACTAATTACCGATACCAATATTTCAAAGCTCGCGGCAAATTCTTATTGTGATATATCGTTATGTACGTATTATTTAATAATTCAATATGCATCGTCCATAGTGCGCTGCGCCAGCGAGAGCGTTCGATTTTCTTGATTGCTCGATCGTTGTGAATGGTTTTGAACTTGAACGGCTGTCGTTCGAGTATAATTGACTTAAGTCGTTTTGCAAAATCACCCGCTGGCCATGCAGCAACGAGCCGCGCTTACCGATATTCCGACAATTATTCGATTATAAATATAAATGTAAAAGCTGCTCATAGTCAAATTATTACGACATTGTTGTTTTATTTTTACTAGAGGACTATTGTGTCTTCCGATGTATACTATTTCCTTCATCGTCATTAATGCCTACGAAAATTTGTTATTAGGCATTTTACTTTGATGACAGCATGGTTTGGGTCTGTACAAAGATGTACATATGTTTTTCATACAAGATGTACGAAGAGATAGTTAAGGATTTCTAAATTTTGTGCCACTGTGATTCATTTACAAATTTAAATAATATTCAAAAGCAATTCATATCATTATTGTGGACGAATGAAGCAGCGGTTGCCTTATAAACAATTGAGAAACGAGAGACTTATTTGAAAGTCAAATATTTATGTCTTAATAAGATAATAGAGTAAAATTAGATTAAGCGCAATTCGAATTTCTTAGATATATGAGGGCCGAAGTTGAAAAATAATAAAATTAAAGCATCTAAATAAGTCTGAATAATGCGATTCTGCATACTGTAGTTTATCATGTATATTTTTTATGTTACATCGTATTTCAGCTTTTTAATTACTACGAATGAATTTAGCATGTAGGTATAAAAAATTATGTATATTATGATGTTTTTGCAAATATGGAGTATTGTAATTGTCAGTTTGAGATGAAGATTTGTTTGCCTTTTGTAAATAATAATCAGAGCGCGTTAAATTACAAACTGCATAAACGAAGCAAACTGGTAAGTTACATGTCCAAGAGCTTGGTATCAGCCATCGATGATGCAGCAACAATTCATTGTACGAAGTGATAACGCTTGTAATTGTGTAATATTATGTATAAATCCTCATGACCAATATCGGGGATCGTTGTATAGAATAAAAGGCTGATGAACTATTACCGTTGAATGATCTTTTAACAATATCATTACTGCTCTTTACAAAAAGCACATTAGATTACGACCTAATAGTTTAGAAATTTCTTAATATTAAGATAGTGTTAGATTTTTTTTTTTTTTTTAACAATTCTTATGTGTAATATTTATTGTCATTGAGTCATTAGTGAAACAAGAGTGTTAATCAATGAATTGAAAATAGTAGGCTTGTTATACACTCTGATAAAGCGACAATACTACACATCAATGTAGGAATATTATTCATTTTTATTCCTACGAACTTTACTGCAATCTAAAATCTATTAATCGATTACGCATTTAGTTTAGATTCATAACTACGTTATAGAGTGAGTATTACCATCCGGTGTTTATTGTAATAACAAACATCTTGTTAATTCAAAGCATAATTGCCACTGACACACTGCCAATACATTTTTATGTTCAAATTTTGTATTATTTATATAAAATATAACGGAAAGCAGAAGCTAATTATTGATTTACAAATTTGTAATATGAAATTTGTTTTAGAAATATATTATCCTTTTAATAAACATTGTATTTAATTTTACCCTATTCATCAAACGATGCGTTGCAAATTAAAGGCCATGAATGTATTGTGATAAAAATTTGATTCTTTTATTTTAAAGCTTTATACAGTTTTTATATTGAAATAATTTACGAAGCCAAAAATGTTTTTTCACATAAATCGTACCATCTTTTAATTTCACGTGGTATTTTGTTCAGTGCTTGTCGTTTTAACGCAGACCACGCAGCTACGTCAGCCAGCGAAGGATTAGGTTGATTTAAAAGCCACTGGCTCTTATTCAAATAATGGGCAAACTTTGTAACAATGGGATCGATACTAGCGGTTGTTTTGTACGAAAGTTGAAGACAGAGATCTAATATTGTATCGATGGAGACTGCATCTGTTAGCGAGTTTGTATATTGATAGTCGTAATAATTAATCAGTCTAGCCAAATATCGCAATAAGTTTGCTTCACCCTCCAGTGGATGACTGTAGACTTTGGTAACAAATTGAACATCGGGCACTGGAATGGAGAACGGCTCACGTCAGTCAAACAAATATAATTTTACAAATTATTGCAGATTAAGGTATCCATGTTTTACACACCATCTTTCCATATGAGCTTCAAATTTATATTATGTACAATTTCACCATTCGCATTGGTCAACAAATTCTCTTCGAACGTAGGCTTTATGGTATCGAGAACCGTAGAATGCAAATGAACATCTACGTTGAATATAGTATCAGTCCAAATGCGTTGAAGAGCCAAAATCGAATATGGTGGACTTGTCGGACTGGCGTTTACTATTACATCCGCTTGAATAGGATTCTACGAAAATACATAATAAAATTAAACGCAATAACGAATTATGGTGCGAGATTTACAAGACAACTTACCTTACAAAGTTGAACATTGTCATTGGAAAAGGGCAAATTTATGGATGGTAATGTAATGGTTTTGGACAACCTGACGGCGATACAGACGTATTCGACATATTGCTTTAACTCCTTGAGTTGCTTTAAAATTCTCATCTGCTTAGCTTCCAAACAGTGATACTCTGGAATATCTTTCTACAATGAAAACAAATATGAAAACAATGTGATTCGAGTTGGTCGGTGGGTTAGTGGGTTGGTCGGTTGGTGGGTTGGTCGGTTGGTTGACTTGATGGCTGAGGGGAGGAGAGGGGCAAGAGAGAGAAAAAAAAAATAAGCCAACCAACAAATCAACCACAATTGCAATGTACACTTTCTAAAGGCACAATAAAAATGAAGGAATTCGATACAAGCCAATTTCGCTTACGTTAATTTTTGTCTCACAGCATCACAGATTTAAATCACCAGATCTTTGCCAATCGTCCCCAAACGACTGACCACATGCCATTTTCATAAGGATTCGATCGCTTCTATCATCGCGCTCCATACTTCTTACACTGAGCCGCGCGATTACATACGCCACGACGCATTAACGGCGTAGCCTTTTTAGGTCTGTACTTTCGGTACTCGTGCGGTTTTCTTCCCGTTGCCTCGTGTCGCGCGCTCTCTCGCACGTCGCGCTGCTCTTTTCTCTCTCCCGATCATTAAACCCTGCGTATACGCGTACGGCGATCCGGAAAGATCATCGTGTGACGCGCGGGCGGAGGGGCAGGAGGGAAAAATACAATACACTGGGCAGCACATCCGCGAGAGCATCATCGATCGTGAGGCAGGGCAGGACGGACGCATCGCTGTTGGCGCGCTCGCGGAATTCGCCAATTTCCTTCACCCGATTCGACGTGAAACGCGAGACGAGCACATCTAAATCCTAGTCCCGAAGAGGATGGGCCGCAGTGTCGTCGGGCGTTTCGAAGGCGCTGCCTATATTGGTGGTAGGACGGAGGAGCATCGCCGCCGACGACATCATAAAATGGACTCTACGCGCCACGTGAGTATTATAATTGCGCGTTGCCGGCCGTAATTTCGGCGAGGGTTGCGTCAAGCGAACGCGCTCGGCTCAATGGCCCCTACTGGGTCCGAGTGGGCCGTCGCCCGCGATCGTCACAACAACGCGGATCTCAATTTGAGATTAAAGTCCAGCTGCTCACCTGACGCGAAAAGTCATCGCCGATGCTCGCAATCGTTGTCCCTCCCTCGTCGTGAACGTTAGGCAGCTCGTACATAACGGTTGGCAGGTCGATCCGATCTGGCAACACGACTATCGGCTCGAGGGCGTACATTTTCGCGATCTCGTCGTAGCTCGCTACCGTCCACCCGGGTCCCCTAAAATAATCGGGAAACGTAGCGCGTCTCGCGCCTCCTCAGTCCCGCGCGACCTCGGCTTTCTTCCTCTATCGTCGAGGTCCGCCATTTTCAATTCTCTTTCTCTCTCACTTGTCAGCCTACGCTCATAACCTTACCGTAGCTTGCGCGGGTCTCGCGCTTCCGGAATGGATATTCCGCGGCCCGCGGCCAGTTACGGAAGACGATTCTCGTTTAAAATGACCGCCAAACGCATTGCGCAAGCGCCACACGTTGCGTGCGCAGCCTAGCGAAATTCGCAAGTGTTTATCGTTGCGTGGCTGGACTTTTCTACGAGGGCACGGGCCCCCACGCGAAACACGAGAAGACTCGTCGATTATCAGCGGTACTGCTTGGGCGCTTTTATCTATTTTTTAAACGACGAAAGAATCGTGTCGACTGGGACGGAATAGCGGATGTAAAGTTTTAAGATCGTGATCAACAAAGATGGTGGTGGTGGTGACGCGGTGACGAAACGAAGGAGCGGACGAGGAACGATCGAACGACCGGGAGGAAGATGATAATGTCAAGGCGGGAGCGGATGATAATGGTCGCGGTACCGACGTAAAATCGTGTATGAATTTTTCGTCAATAGATACGGGGCTAATGGCCGAGCAGCCGGCGCTCCTACCGAAATCGCATAAACGAAAAAATAGTACGGGTGGCGCAGCGCGAGGCCTTCGACTCTCGTAGTACGAAGGGAAGGTTGGAGGGCGCTACGAATCGCAAGTGCACGAATGACGAAAGCGGGATTCGCTCGCACAGATGGCGCGAGTTTTGCATCGCCGTGTATTGTGAGTGTGTGTGAAAAATACATCGCGCTGTCCTCGCTGCGGGAAAACGCGGAAAAGCCAGGGTTTTTTTGAGGCCGGCTAAAATTGCGCGTACGTGACAGCGTTGAAGAGTCGGGAGTGCGGCCCTTGTGGCCGATTTTTCGCCAACGAGCTCCCGTAGCGGCAGCCAGTCTCCGAAAATTGCCTGGATCTGTGGAAACACGCGAAATTATATTCCCGATGTGAGAGAGCAGAGCCGAGGGGAGAGCGCGAGTGGTGTCCTCTGTTCAAGCATCCTCCGAACTAAGGTTAGGACGAAATCAGCATCGGGCGGCGAATCGCACTTTAGTCGTTCGTCCGCCGTGACTGCCGCGGCTCCCTTCCTCGCGATTTTAATAAGGTGGAAGCGGGCGGCCGTGGCTCGATTATCCAGCTCTCCGTGTGGCCCGGCGATCGCGGTTAGGAATTGCATTTTTTTTTCTTTTATTGGAGTCGTGAGCGAGCTCAGCGCCATCCGGCGCCCGATTGACAGCAATCGGCGAAGCGAGCGGCCGCACTATTGTCCCGTACCTCTACTACTCCTCCTCCACGCCCCCCCCCCCCCCCCCCCCCCCCCCCCCCCCCCCCCCGGCGCCCCCACCCCGTCATCCGAGCGGCGACGAGGTCCAGGAATCTTAGGAGCGTGACTCTTTATCGCCTTGTCGTAGGCTCCAAGCTCTCCAGTGGCCCCGGGCCACTCTCGGTTGCCGACGGTCGCTTACAAGTCGACGTCGCAACTCGACCCTCCCCTTGGAGCTTCTCGCCGCTCGTACGGAGGCCTGCGGCTGCCGACCAATCCACTATCCCCTTACATCGGCCCTCCCCCGTGCCCCTCGCGCGCTCCGCGTTACGGGCTTACGAGAGCGCGCGCGTCTTGTCTGCGCGCTCGCCCGCGCCCCACTCATACTTACACTTGAATTGCACGCACGCGTATGTGTGGCGCGTGCGCGCGAGTACCTGCGAGTCATAGCCTTTGAGCGGTGCAGCCCTAAAGCCGCGACGGAGAGTCGTGTGTGCGAGAAGAACGGAGAGAAAGAGAGAGAGAGAGAGAGAGAGCGAGAGAGTCAATGACTGAGTGAGTGAGTGAGTGAGCGAGAGGGATAGATCGACGAGGTCAGGAGAGCCGTTGCGTTGCGTTGCGTTGATTTGATTTGCTTTGCTTTGCTTTGCTTTGCTTCGCGTTGCGTTGCGTTGCGTTGCTTTGCTTTGCTTTGCTTTACGTTACATTGTATTGCGCGTCGTCACGAGACGCTGCTCAGCTGTTGTGGTACCTGGAGACCGCGACCCGGGGATGGTCGGGAGTTCGGCTCGGGCGAATGCACTCCTCGAGCTTTACTCTGGTCTTCCGTGCTTGATTTGATCACGTGACGGAGTGTCGGAAGAAATGGCGCAAATATCGCAGCGCGAACGCGACTTTCGTTCAGTAGTGGCGGGTGGCGGCGGCGGCGGCGGCGGCGGCGGCGGCGGCGGCGGCGGTTACGGCGGCGGCGGCAATGTCCGATCGCTCATGTTTGTTGACGAGCGCGCCACGTGCTGAGCAAGAGAGATAGAGTGAAAAGAAAAAAAGAGAGAGAGAGAGAGAGAGAGAGAGTGAGCGAGTGAGTGAGTTAGCGATTGAGCGAGTGAGTGGGAAGGAAGCGCGTTCAAAGGAAGTGGGCAAACAAGCAAGTGCGTTAAAACTAGCTTAAGTCGCTTAGTGGGCCTTGTTTGTTTTATTTGACAGTGCTACCGGTGGTCGGATAATGACCGGAAGGGGGACCAAGCGACGGGGACGGCCGCCCAAGTCCGTCGTGATGGAGCGGCCAAAAAAGTTCCAGTACCATCTCATGAAGAAGCCCAAGTACTTGCAGGCCAAGGGTTCGGAAACGCCGGGCTCGCAGCCCGGCACTCCGACGGCCTCGAGGCCAACCTCGCCGCAGGAGACCCAGACGACCGAGGATACGAGGCGCAGCACGCGTAACCGTAAGACCAAGGGGGCCCGGGAAAAGCACTCGAGAAAGGGTGGACACACCGGCTCTGGCTACCAGCGGCGTGGTTATAACACGAGCATGGATTATCATGACTCGGAGTACCACTATGGTTCTGACTTTGGTGACGAGTCCAGTGACAAAAGTGACATAGAGGACGACCCACTGCTGCAAAGCGAAGAAGAATCCTCGGAGAGCATAGAGGAGCCCGATCCATCTAGCGACAGTGACTTTTCGCTGTCGAGTTTCAGTACCACCAGTGGCACACCGAGGAGAACTCTGTTGAGTCAACAGAGACCCCCCAGTCCAGAGCCACTGTGGCTTCAAAATCGCGATATTATTCCTCTTCACTTGCCCAAGTCCTCCGACGACCTGCTAGTTCCTAAAGATTTAGTTATGCCTTGCCTCTCTATTTATGAAGTCCTTAGGCATTTCCGAACTCTTCTTAGGCTCTCGCCCTGCAGGTTCGAAGACTTTTGTGCAGCTATGATTTGCGAAGACCAAACCAATTTATTGGCTGAAATTCATATTACGCTTATCAAAGCTTTATTGCGAGAGGAGGATTCGCAGCAAACCCACTTTGGCCCGCTCGATCAGAAGGACTCTGTCAATATCAGTCTTTATTTTGTCGATGCCATGACATGGCCAGAGGTTCTAAGATCATACGTCGAAAGTGACAAATGTTTTGATCTAAACATTTTAACTATTCTTTCCAATTCCGAGTATCCATTTTCTGGTATAGAAGATAGGATAAAAGTTTTACAATTTTTAACTGGCCAGTTTCTTATAACTAATCCTGTTCGAGAAGATTTACTTCACGAAGGTATATCTCCCCTTTTCTTTTGCATGCCTTGTATTTAAAAGTTCCACTTTTATGCAAAAAGTACATTAACAGTAATATTGTAATGGCACATGTTATGTCTGTGTTTGGAAATTATTTTTTCATATGCATTCACACGTTTTTTTACTGGTACATACAGTTAAAACAACTGTAAATCCTTGCCTCTGTTGTATTTATTTTTAAATATCTTCATTGGAAAGTCTAGGTTTTTTTCAGCACTAAAATCTGTATAAAAGTAGTACTTTAAATGTATTGCATATAACTATTTAACTTAAAAATAGATTTATAACTCCTGTATTTTAAAAATTTTATTTGAATAGGTAACAGAGATTATGACGATCATTGCCGAGTCTGCCATAGACTTGGTGACTTATTATGTTGCGAAACATGTCCAGCGGTGTTTCACTTAGAATGCGTAGAACCGCCGCTCGTCGATGTACCTCCCGAAGATTGGCAATGTAATATATGTAAAGCTCATAAAATAAGCGGTGTGATGGACTGTGTACCCGATGTGGAAAAAAATGGCTTGCTCTGTAGACAAGAGCATTTGGGATTCGATAGACATGGGCGAAAGTATTGGTTTCTCGTCAGAAGAGTTATTATGTATGTATTATTATTTAAGATATATTCTGAATTTATTGATTATTACAGTTGCTTTCATGATTATCCCATATTCTATTTGTAATGTTATAGTGAAAGCGAGGATGGCGAACTATGGTATTGTAGTACTCCGTTGCAGTTAGAAGAGCTAATGAATTCTTTGGATAAGAATGAAATGGAAGTTGCCCTTTACAGAGAATTATCCGACTATAAAGATGAAATTAAACGGCAAATGGAACTAACGGAAAGCCTTACAAATCAATTTAAGGGTAATAAGAAATCTTACTTAGAAGTGGAAAACAGTACGTATTTATTTCTGATTCATTCATTATCCTACAAAAGGTCCTCGTAATAATTTTGTGTATAATCATTCGTAATAATCATTGCAGGTCTCATTCAAAAATTGCAAAAAGAACGTCAGGAAAAATTGGAAAAAGAAGAAGAGGATAGGAAGGAAAAAGAAAGACAAGAAGCTGAGGAGATGGTTCGCAGAATACACGAGGAACCCGAGTCTTTAATAGAACCGAGCGTGCCGTCCGAACAAACAGAAGCTAAAAGCATTAAGGAGGGCCAAGAGCAAAGTGAAAAAACGGAGGAAACAATTGAACCGGAGGAAAATTCCATCGATAATCCAAATAATGAAAATAAATGTAAAGTCGACGGTGAATATATGGATATGGACGAAGTGACGGAAGATGTCGATAAAGACGGTAAGTACGAATCCGCAGATTGTAGGCTTTCCTTAGCTTATAATTATAATAGGAGAGTAAAATTTCAGGCAAAAAACATAATATTGTGACAAGGTCAAAGACTGGTTCACTAACGCCTAGAACGTTTAATATAGATGAACTGAAGAAAAAAGCGCTGCCCCCAGGGACAAAAGAGGAGCCTGAAAAAAACATGCCAGAGAAAGCTACGAAGGAAGAAAGCGATAATGCAAGATTGACGCGTCAAAAAGCTCAGCAAATAGCATCGGGCACTCATTTGTTTAAGCTGGGTATGGATAATACATTCAAATCGTATGTGAATCAGTACAGCACCAACGCAATGGCCTTGAACAAGATTCAGCGAAATGAAGAACGTGATAAAAAGCGCCATTTATCGCACAAATTTGCCTTGGCACAAACTATCGAATTCAAATGGATCGGAAGCTTGACGGGTGCCCGAGCTCTGCTAGTTCAGACTCTTCGGCAGACGGTCATGCAATTGGAAAGCAGCATCCAAGCGCCGTTTATGCACACCAATTGGCCATTATTGCGCAAGCCATGGACGAGCGCCGTCGGCTCGTGCGTAAATCCGCGGGATTTTGCGCGCGCACTCATCGCTCTGCAGGCGTGCATCAAGTCGGTGGTCTTCGCTAACGTCTGGCACGAGCAGCTCGGCCATGTGAAACTGCAGAGAGTCACGGCGCTCGAGCGCGAGGAAAAGAAGCGCCTCGACAAGAAAGAGAAGAAAGAAAAGGAGGACGAGGAGGAGAGGAATCGACTTACTTACAATTTCATCAAGTACACACTCGGTCTGAAGCACCAGATATGGAAGCAGAAGGGCGAAGAATACCGTGTGCATGGCCAGTGGGGCTGGCTTTGGATATCGGCGAGTCGACGCTACAAGTCCCTCGACATTGTTAAAACGGGCCTGCGCGCCGGACCACAGAAAATCATGGTTCAAGTAAGGGATCAAATAGGCCTTAAGATTTTGGCTGTTGACCCATCCACATACGAATTTTTAATCAAGCAATACTGCCCACCTGAGAATGCGGAATCTCTCGACAATAAAGACAAAATTATCAAGCAGGAAATAAAATCTGAAGAGCCTAATACTGATAATAAAGTTTCCGAGATTAATGAAGAAACGTCAAATGCAGATAAAACGAGCGATATTAAAGAAGTGAAAGTAGAAACGAGCGAGGAGCAAAAAGTAGAGCCCAAAACGGAACTCCAAACACCGAAACCAGAAACAAAACTTAATTTACCTTGTAAGTATATTCCATTAATATTTGTGCCAAAAGTTCAATAAGTATATAAGCATTTGTTAATGTCGCTTTTTAATATGATGATCAATGTTTTTTAACGATGTAAGAAATTTGATGTTAATTCAAGTATTCAATTAAAAGTAAATTAATAGAATAAATCTATATATCTATATTTATAGAATAAATAAATAAATATACATTTATGCATTTTAATTGTATATATATATATATATATATATATATATATATAGTGTGTGTGTGTGTGCGCGCGTGTGTGTCATATCCGCATTTAAACGTGTTAAAGTAAGTGATGTGGATATAAAATCAAATATTGAACATATTTAAAAGCTTTTAGCACAACTAGGATACTTAATTATATAAATATCAACATCAATTATTAATTCTTTTATTGTTATGTATTGATAGTTTTGGCCGGAATGAAGATTCAAAAAGTATTTAAACCAGTGACAGAATTCGAAGAAATTGATATAACTAAGGCATTGACTACGTCGGGACGTGTCTTTTATCCAAAAATTGGTAAAAAGACTCGAATAGATGATTTCCTAGCTCGACGTACACATCTAAAACTTCTAGAAGAGAGGCGATTATCTCAATCAGAAAAGTTAAAAGAAATGACAAATCGAATGAACAATCAAAAGACGAACGAAGAAGAGACTGATATAGATATTGAAAGTACAGAGGATGGTGAGGCTGCCGCCGGCAATGATACAACACTGCAGAATATTTTATTAGGCAAACAAGCAAGTAAAGGCACCGCTTCCAATAGGGATATGCTCGTGGCAATAGGAAAGCGCATCCAACTCGTTCGATCACAGTATGCAAATTTAATGCGCCTCGGTGGAAAAAATGTGACTTGTTACTCTCGATACTGCAATGCAGCCACCCAGAATTTGACGAATAAAACGATTAGCACACCTCAGAGTTTAGCAATCAATTGCTATTCTCCGGTTTGTTTGAAAAAGAGCCAATTGAAGCGGGATCTCGTAATGCTGTTACGAAAAGCAAATGTCCTAAACAATAATCAATCGTCTGCTAATGCTGCAACTGCTACCGTAAAAACAGAAGCAAACGACAATAGTAAAGATAACGTAGTTAAAAGTGAAACTGATTCGAGTACAAATGAAAAATCAACTAATAATACTCAAAGTAAAAAAACTGAGGATAATGGTGGTGATCTACCTGCGACTAAAAAGATTAAATTGGAATCGGTACGAGTTAAAGTGATTATTTAATAATTGCATATTAAAACTTTTTTATAGCGCTCTTTTATATATTTTGCATTTTTAATTTATTTAGTAAACAATTACTCGGAATCGTCTTACATGGGATATTTTATTCCAACTAATTTTTTTTAAATAAATTGATATTTTTAATACTCTTACTCTTACTATTTGTTTAGTAAAAACTACATTGAATACTGATAAATATCATATATATATATATATATATATATATATATATATATATTAATAATTTTTTAATAAAAAAGAATTAATATAAAATCGAACTTCACTGTACACTTCTAATGTGAACATAGTTTCTTCTTCTAAATCAATTCTTTAAATTGAGCGTTACAATTTTTAAGAATAGTAATACAATTTTTTTTTTATAACATTTTATTTATATAACATATCAGACATATGTTTCGCATAACATTTATTACAGAATTATGTAAAATTATGTTTAAATTGTGCAATAACTTACAAAAGACATAACTTTATATCTTATGGAATAATTTTAAATCCTTTCTTTTTCTAAAATTTTCACTTTATTTTAAATTTTTTAACATATTTTTTTAATCAAAAGAACTAATTGAGAGAAAACAAGTCTTTTTTATTTTATTTTATTATTTCATTTATTATTTTAACCTAGGTATATTTATCTAATTAATTGATTTTAAAATATATTTATACATATTTATGCATAAGAAGTATTAGAATACACTATTAAAAAAGTTTTATCTATAAAAATAAAATAAAAAAAATAATAACATTGATAAATTTTCAAATATAAATTAGTTTAATTATTGTCTTAGGATGATAGCTCCGATACTAAAAGCAATCAAAAAGTTGTTACAACAAATAATGTTGCAACAACTACACAGCAGACTAAAACTACAGTTGGCATAGTTAAGAACCCGCAAGATACTGCTACATCTTGTAATTCAATTGAAACAACATCTGAAACGAAGACTAAGTAATTATAATTTGAACAATTTTTTTTTTAAATATATCGTGATATATTTGTTTTCTAATCTTTTTTACATAAAATATTAATTGCAGAGGTTCTACATCACCCAAGACTACAACAATTGTAAATCGTCGTGGTAGAACTGTACAGCGAATTATTTATACTAAAGAGTTGAATGCCGATGGAACAGAAAGAATATATTCAGCAACGTCAACAGAAGGAAAAATTTATTTGAAAAAAGTTGCCATATCCCTTGCAGATAGAAGAAAAAAGCGAACACCCGTGAAATATCCTTTATGCTCGACATTTTGTAGTAAGAATAAGCATCGGAGTATATTGATACTACCACAACATGAATTAAGAAAATTAGCTAGAGCCGGCGGTCGACAACCTGTGCAAGGATTTCATCACATGGCTAAGGTTATTATTGTTTTATGTCGTCATTACTTTTCTTGTTTACATTTAATTTTTTTTATTTACTATTGTTATATTTTGTTGTTACGTTGTCATTTTGTTATCGTATTTTCGTAATTTGCATAGTGAATAAACAGCGCTTTATAATAAATTCATTTTGCACTCAGGCAAATATGTCAGTATGGCCTTACCCTTGTCCAAGGCCTCTATTTAAGACTTGCTGGCTGTATCGCACAGTGGGGCTAAAGTCTCTTGCAGCAGCAGCTCTTCAGTTACGAATACTTTGGTCATGTTTGAGATGGGATGACGTTTCTGCCAAACCATTATCAAATGATGGCAAACATCAAATTACCACCGATACCGAAATAATGTCACTGGAAATTTTGAAACACAGACACGTTGGTCAATTTATGGATAAGACTCAATATTTGCGTAGAAAAGTTGTCATTCCATTAGAATTACCGAAGCAAGTAAGAGGTATGTAATAAATATATCGTAAATTGATTAATTGTAAAGTGTATTGTCATTATTCAAAACTTGTTCATTAAATTTGCAAATATTTTAGAAGTAACATCAATTCGTAGTGGTTTACGTAAGAGAAAACGACCGGAGTCGCCACAAAGTACCGAACCGCAGGTTTCAGAAGAATGGGTAGATGAAGATAAACTTGAACTTTGGGAAATTAAACAATATGGGGAAAGGTAAGCACGAACATTTCTTTAATGTTCAGTATTCATGATTTATATTTTATATTTACCACTGCTTGTGCATTGTGATGTTGTCTCAATCCTTATCTTGCAATCCTCTAAAGCTTTATATATGTTTAATTATACTTTCTTCATGTTTGGATACGTGTATATGTGTGTGTATGTTTTCTAATACCTCTAATATAATATATGTATGAGTTGTGCACAGATACTTTGTGCAGTATTCGTCATACTTATTTAACACCCACACTTTTATTTGTATTACATTTTAAAGTTTTTCTTTTTTTTATACTATAAAAGTCCTATTCCTGAATTAACACCACTTGAGACTAACCCCTTTGCTTGGTGCGTGTGTCCGTTTTTAGGTTAGAGAAGGCTAATGCCCAGATTATTACTAGGAGTAGATCCGGCGTACCACAGACTGTAGTTGTGAGTGGTAATCGTGTTACGGGTTCTATTACTGCTAGTGATCAGCTAGTCAGCGGTAAATCAACACCAGAAGAAATAAAAGAGAAGATGGAACAACAGCTACGTCTTCAAAGAGCAGCCCACCAACAGAAGCGAGCATTAGAAAGTTTAAAAAATCCAGCCACTCCTGTAACTCAACTTGTCAAAGTCACTACGAATTCTTCTCAAGGTAAGTGCTATGAATATTTCAAATTTTTCATACGCAGCACTTATTTTTATTAATGCTTGTATTTAAATTTGAAGATGGTACTCTCAAAGTAGTTACCAAAGTAGCTATACCAGCTAATCCTAATACACCTCAAGGAAAATCACAGCTGACATCATTACTTACTACGCCAAATCAAAATAAATTTATCGGCACTCGAAGAATTTATATGACCAAAGGTATCGATTGATTACAAATTTCTAACCAAAAATTAGTTAGTTAAAAAATAACTTTTAAACAACAATTGATGGATTTTTAGCCGCTGATGGTACAACTAGGGTAATTTCAGGACCTACGAGTATTTTACCGAAAACTGCGCAACAAACTTCTAATCAGCAGTCACTCATTAAAACGTCTGGCCAATGTAATACAAAATTACTGCATTTGTACTTTCAATCATCTCACTTCTCTAATTAAACCTAATACAACAATGTTTGTTAAACAGCTTCAAATACACCGGTACAGCATGTGCAGCAGAAAGTGCAAATTCTGCGTGGTCCCGATGGTAAATTGCAAGTCCGAGGCCTCATGCCAGGTCAGCAATTGGTTCAGATGCCAGATGGTAAGCTCCACGTTCTCAACACGACTCAGACCATAGCGACGACTACGCCTCAGCAGCAGACGGTAGTCGCTGCTACGACTCCTTCCAGTGGTGCTACAACTCCGACCGCACAAGCAAGCACGAAGGTGACTGCGAATGCTGTAAGCGCCGGGAAAACGTCGACGGTTAGCGCTGGCAAGGCAGCTGCTGTCAAAGTGACGATCAACCAGACCGATGCGACGCAGCAACAAACACCTGTGCAGCTACAACAGGTAGTTCAGAGTGGTCAGCGATTGAAGGCTGCTATTGTCAGCCCAGGATCGGTTACCACTCCTCAACAGCAAAAGAGCACTTTTGTAGTTGCAAATACTGGACAAGTAGTGCAAGGAGCACAAGTGAGTGAACGTTCATTTATAGTTACTTTACATAATTTATTTCTCCTCTCCGCCCCCCCCCTCTCTATTGATATTTTATTTTTCAATATGATGAATTAATTTTAGGTTCTTACAACATCGGGACAAGTCATCACTACAAATCAAATAGTCGTTAATAATCCCGCTTTAGCGCAGCAATTAGCTTCCGGAAAGGCCCAATTAGCGACCATTGGTGGTCAACAAGTCTTGTTGCGAAACACAAATGCAGGAAATTTAGTCCAGTTGAATTCGCCGAATGCTGGTATTATTGTAAGAAATGCCGCATCTAAAAATCAAACAGGTTTGTTCTAAATTAAGTAATTAAAAGTAATCGAACACAAGAACGAATATCCAGCATTGATTTTCAATAAAATTTTGTAGTGGCAGCTGCACAATCGACAGCCGTATCGACAACGTCGACGACCAACGTAAGCGAAAGTTCAGTCGTCAGTACGGTTGCTAGTACGACAACTGCCACGTCTACTACGACGAGTTCACCGTCTACCCCCTCTAGCCAATCTCTGCCGAATTTGGGGGGCCCTACGGGAACGCCCGGAGCCCCGGCTCCGGGAAGCGTAGAAGCCTCCTTACTCGTTGGTCAACCGCCTGGCACCGTCATAAAGTGCGTTACTGCCCAGGTCATTCAGACGACTCAGGGGCCTCGCATCGTCTTACAAGGACTGCAGGGAACAGACTTCACCCCGAATCAGTTGTCGATGGTTCATCAGCAGGTAAAGCAACAGCTGCTAAAAGCACAAGAGACGGCGGGCAAACAGGGCGTTTTAGGGCCCACGAAGATCTAGCCAGCTCCATCGACGAGCCAATCCCAACAAAATTCAAGCTCGCAGAAGCCCGTCACCCAAAGTGCTGCAACTCCGACGACCAAGGCGCAGCTCGCGCCTTCTCAACCATCGTCATCCGAACAAAATACCACTGGTAAGTATATTGCGCCAAGTCTCGGGACTTTCATTATTTGCCTCGATTATAAAAATCTGGGGAAGAGAGAAGCATAAATTCATCGGCCAAATATATCGAACCCCGTACAGAGAGTCAAGCAAAAACGGAGCCCGCAGCTGAAGCGCCAAAAGCGGAAGCTCCTTCGCCGAAAAAAGCGAAGGTGGTCGTTCAACAAGTGCAACGTGGCGCAACAACTGAGGATGAGTCGCAGCGAGTTAGCGTCGCTAATGGACAACAGCCAAGCGAGACTGCCAAGGACTCGAATCAGTCAACAACTAATAAATTCGTGCTTACACCAGACTACATCCAACAAAGTAAAAATTTCATTATTAGTAATATAAATATATTTGCGAGGGCAAGAGTATATTTTTCCTTGTATTTTATAGCCATAAAGAACGCATTGAAACAAGAAAATCTTAATCCTGAAATAGAAGAAAAACTATTGCAGCTGCAAAGGTACCAAGAAAAGCAGATGAAGGGAACGGAGGGCTCGGCAACCGGGGCTCAGGGTCAGAACACACTCGTTTGCTCGACTCCTCGTGCTCCTGCACGCAAACGACCTACGTCCTCGGCTCATTCCACAGTGGCAACGCCGGCGCTTACTACTCATCCCAACCCAAACGAGAAAGATAACGAATGGATCGCTGAGACTCCCAAGAAGAAGCCTCTACCTAAACTAGACCACCGTGATGTTTCTAAGTAAGTATTACATGTATTCTCATATCACGCGTTTTGCAAACTTTCTTTTATTTCGTTGTCTTCGTGAAAGGTCGCACAAATTATCTGAGTCGCTGGATAATGATTCAACGCCAAAGAACCGATCCAATAAATTTAAGGAAACCCAAGAGCAGAGGAGGAAGCAGCAAGTACATTCGAGAATGCAAGTTCTTTTATTTAGACATAAAGAGTTATTGAAGAAAGATATATTGAAAAGAAGAGTTTTACTTGAAAAAGAGCTTCAAATCGATGTTCAAGTTAGTATAAGCGTTCTTTTTTTTTTTCTTGTTTTTTTTTTTCTTTCTGCCGTCGCTTTTAATTCGCTACGATTAATTGTAATTTAAGGTAAATTTGATTGTTAAATTTGCTCGTAACATTTTTTATTAGAAAGATCTTTCGGCGGAGCTTGCCAGTAGAACAAAGGCCGAGAGACACAAGCAAGATGAGGTAAAGGTGGGAAGCGCGAAGCGTAAGGCAAATGCTCAGCCTGCGCAACAAATTAGCCCACCAAATAAGAACAAACCAAAGAAACAAAGGTCACAGGGATGTGTACCGACTGTCAGCTCATCATCGGTGTCTAACAAAATTAAAAAAGAAAAGCTCTATTGCCTTTGCAGGACGCCGTATGATGAAACTAAGTAAGTAAACAAAATCGAAAGTATATTATAATGCTGTTTATATCGTTTAAAATCAAACCACAAATTATTGTCGTAGATTTTATGTTGGTTGTGACTTGTGTAACAATTGGTTTCACGGGGATTGTGTGGGCATTACTGAAGAAATGAGTAAAACCATGTCGGAATTTGTTTGCACCGAGTGTCGACATGCACGGGAAACTCAGGAATTATATTGTTTGTGTAAACAGCCGTATGATGAATCTCAGTAAGCATCAATTATTGTTTCAATTAATATTTAAGCGCGTATTATTATTCTGGGAATATAGTCCGGGGAATATTAAATTCTTTGCTTCAGATTTTACATTTGCTGTGATAAGTGCCAGGATTGGTTTCATGGTAGATGCGTTGGTATTCTGCAGTCAGAGGCTGATAATATTGATGAATATGTTTGCCCGAATTGCCAGCGAAATTCATCAGTCAATTTTGCTAATATGAAAAATCTTAACGCAAAAGATCTTGAGCTTTTAAAGAAACTGATCAAACAAATACAGGTATGAGCAGGCGGCAAATAAGAGGCTTAAAAAAAATAAAAGTCATATTATTATTTATGTTAGTATGATGATAGATTGTTCGATAAATTAAAATTAATTTTGTTATCATTAGGGACATAAGAGTGCATGGCCTTTCATGGAACCTGTAGACCCTAACGAAGCACCTGATTATTATAAAGTTATCAAAGAACCAATGGGTAAGGGAGTTATATAATTATTATCTCCTATCTGGTAATTTTCGCATCGTGCAATTTTATATTAATATAATGTCGGTGCAATATCTTTCAGATCTTCAAACAATCGAGCTGAGAATCAATGACAGATCATACAAAAAGCTCAGTGAATTTATCGGTGATATGACCAAGATATTTGACAATTGTCGTTATTATAATCCCAAGGAGTCGCCTTTTTTCAAGTGCGCAGAATCTTTAGAGACGTACTTTGTAAATAAAATTAAATGTTTAAGGGAAAAATTCTCTGAAGGGAAATGAAAATGAAAATGAAAATGAAAATGAAAATGAAAATGAAAATGAAAATGAAAATGAAAATGAAAATACTGAAAGAAAGAAGTGTCAATGTTGTAATTATCAAGTTAGCTCGGGCTGTCCCAAAGTCATCAAGAAAAGACGTTAGTAGACGTTTTTATAATGACAAAATGTCGGATGTTTTAAATAGATAAAACCCGTTATAATTTCAGATGTCAATAAGATGTCTAATAGGTCATCTTTTATTCGATAAATAATGACACATTTATTTCATGTGAAATAAGGATCGATGTGTCTCAACATTATATAAAGTAAATCGACATGTTGTCAGTTTTTTAAAAGATGACTTTTAGACATGCCTTCTTGTGCACTTTCAGACGTCTATATAAGTAATGAATTTCTATTTATTTTAATTAATAAAAGTACAAAATTAGATTATGATTATTAAACTTTTTTTTTTTTTTTTTTTTTTTTTTTTTTTTTTTTCCTTCAATTACATGAAAGTCTTTTACGAAAACCCTATTCGTCATATAGTACTATTTAACATATTTAATTTCATAATTACATGGTATATACAATTTTTTTGTATAATGATTGTCATTGCAAGAAATTTTTAAAGTACGACGAGTATTCGTTATACAATATTGTTCTATTAAAGTAAAAATAACTCTTAAGTAGAATACATTGTAGAAGATATTTTAACCAAATTAGTAAAAATATTGATTAACTCCTTTGAAGGTATGATGAATATTCGTTATACAGTGATATTTTGTTAAATAAATTCGTTTGACTATATAAAATAGATAATATTTTTATCAAAATGAAAAATTGCGATCGAAAACATCAAAAGAAATTATTATTTTCTAAATTACGTTTTTGAAAACTAAGAAAATATTTTTTTAATAATATGTTAAAAAATCCAGCCTTAGCTATTTAAAAAAAATAATACATAATTCTTGTAACTAAAGTAACGTACGAAATCCTGTTTAGCTGCAAGGTGCATACGATTGCATGCCAATGAAGCCAGTCTGTAAAACAATGTTACACTTTGTCCTTCGTTACCCCTTTGTTCGAATGCTATCCCATAACTATAGATTAAGATTGGTAGGCTAAGAAAAAATTGTACAGTATTAAATATGTTTATATGTAATTCATTTAAGGTTTTTTAAAGAGTAAAATTGATTAAATTTAACCAATTACAATTTACAAAGTGAAAATACACCGAAAAAGATCCGATACATTTTTTCATCAATTTCCATTCCATTCCAAATCCATTTCTTTCCATATTAAAAGCCTTATATTTAAATTATTTTTATACAAAGATATTTTATTTATTATATACAATTTATTTATATTACAAATTAAGATCAACCGAATGACATAATATGTATTATTGAATTACAATTACAACCAATACATTTACATTATTTTCCTTGAAATTTGGCATATTTCAACTACATGTATACTAATATACCGTTAAAAATAAATATTTACACAAAAGCTTTTATCTTTGAAAATAATTTAACTCGTTTTATCTCATTCGAGTTTATAATAATTTAATGGCTAATACAATTCGAGTCGTTTTTTCCAATGTATGGACACCTTCATTTGCCATTATCACAATCAACTTTGTAAATAGTAAAAATATGTTTTGTAAAATTTTTTTAAAATTATAACGATTATACAAACAATTTAATCAACGTGATTATTTTCATAGATTAAACGAAGCAAAATGTTTGGTTTAATCATTAACCATCCTTATGTATTCATTATGTTACAATCTTTAACAAAATATTTATATAATTTAAATATCGAGAGTATTTATTTCTCATGATTTTGAAAATAGTAATCGAATTAGAGTCTTGGAACCGATGAAGTTTAGTCTTCGAATGAAAATTTTTTCATAAACTTGGTGCTTGCGTTTCTTTCCTTATTATTTATAAGATGCGTATTAAAGTTAAATATGAAATCATTGTCCGAACTTTTCTAAGTCAACTGCGAATAAAAAACAAAACAAAAAAAAAAAAAACTAAGAATAAAAATCTTAATATACTTTTATTGACAATCGTTTAATTAGTTAAAATTTGCTTTTATTTGAATGTAGAAAATAATCGAAAATCAAGAAAATCGAAAATCGATGACAATTTTCATTAGTCAACTAATTAAATTTATTTCTAATAAACTAATTTCATCCAATATTTCGCGTAAACAATAATTATTTCCTTAATACATATTATTTTTAAATGATTTTAAAATAAAAAATTTTAAAGATTAAATTATACCCGATGATTCCTAATAATTAAGAACATCAATCATGCCCCATGAATTTTCCTTTTTCGAATTATTTCTTGCTATTTCTCATAAAAGACAACCAATTATATAATGTATTTTTATTATTTTTATAGTTATCGGCAGACGCGGATCTTGTAAATTAATGGTAGAGTAAAATCATAATTCTTAACTAAATATTAATATCGACGTCTTAAAAATTAAAAATATATGTCATACGATAATATAATAGTATAAGCATTTTGAAATTTGGTTTCCAGTTCAATTTCGACCACTATTCATCAAATAAATATTACACATACTTATATGCAATTTAAAATTTATTATCATTTTTCTGTGTGCACATTTTGACATATAATAATAATAATCAGGAGAATATTTAATCGATCAAACATGTCATTAGTGTCATTTTATAAACTTTAATGTACCATAATGAAGTAAATTCGTCATATTTACTCTTAATACCGAAAATTTAATGGCTACTTAGAAAAGGTTTTATTTTTATTTAAAACGATATATTTTAGAATTGATTTTTGGGGGTAACATTTGTATATATTCTAATGAATATCCAGTACATTTTACGTTTATAATTAATATAATTAATCAAATAGTTTTATTGATGTAAAGCTCGTTGGATCGGTGATTTAATTAAAATAAAAATTTTTAAAGATCAAATTTTATTAGAAGCACAATTTTTTTATTTGTACTTTTGACTGCATTTACCATTTTATCGATTCGTACGTACTCGATGAATATGTATATTGAAATAAGAAAATGGTTTGATTAACATATAAATAAGTATAAACATTTATGTAATATAATTAATTAGTTGAGAAGTTACTACTAATAGAAATTTGTCCATTAAATAAGTAAATAAAATAAAAAATAAAGTTGAATATATTTCGTAATTTTTGTAATTTTTATATTATTAAAATTGAAGACAGAGAGAGAGAGAGAGAGAGAGAGAGAGAGAGAGAGAGAGTCAAAGAATACTTTTTTTTTTATCAACGCTTAGTTTTCAAGTGCATATATATATATATATATATTATGTAATTGCTCATTCTTTTTTTTATTATTTATTTCTTATTTATTATAGATAGCTTTAATGTTTTATTCCAAATTCAATTGCAAATAAATGAAAGTTATTATAATAATCTTATTTACGATTAGTTTATTATAATTTTCTAAAAATTATATTGTATTTCGATTTTAGGTTATAAACATAGGAGCATTGATTATGAATGTACATCGACATAAAAATCAAAACAATATTTATTAGGAATAACCGACATTATAAAATTATTTATCTTGTTTATATAATATATAATATATAATATTAATCGTAATAAATAATTTATTTCTGTAACTTTTAAATATCGTTGGCTATTAAAAACTGTTTCTACGCTTGAAAAAATATTTATTAGTCAGATTATAATGGCTATAATAGTTTTTTGTCTATATGTAGCCGGTAGCCGTTTTTTTAATATACATACACACACACATATATATATATATATATATATATATATTTAAAACAAAAAAATTTTTTTTTTTTAATAGAAGTAGCGAGGTTGCTTGCTCTCCAGGAATACGTTGAAGGCTGCGACTATCCATTTCGATTCCTCGAGATTCGATAAATTTAACCGATATCGTTCATTATTTTTCAGGATTCATTCATTCACTTGTCAACAAACACAAAGCTTACACTTATTTATTAATTTACACGCTGTAATTAATATCAATTAATATTTTACCAGACTACTTATTCAATTTCAAAACTTTCATAATGTGATTGCATACCGTTTTAATATAATTGTATTTTAATATACAAAACATTGCACAACATTAAATTTAATACTAGATCTTAGATATGAAATATACCAATTTAACAATAATAATAAAAACTAATTGATACGAAATTTTTTTAAAATTATCTAGTAAGAACATATTATGCATTAGGAATGACATATGCATTGGTATTGGTTATAAAAATCCTGAAAATGAGATAAAAATGGCATCTACTGTAGTAAAGTACTGTTGTTAATTAAGTAGGGATCGTACTGCGAGTACAGCAGTTTTATTCAGATTTAATGCTACATCATAAAGTTCAAGAAGTTTAATTTACAGTATGAACTTACAGTATATATATATATATATATATAATTTTATTATCAAATTAGCTCGTTATCTGCAAGCGCGTAAGCATTAATCAATGTCATAATTCTATCTGATTCAATCAGTAATATTCCGCTTATAAATATCTAACATCGAGTAAATATTTAAATATTTAACATTTCTGTATGTTTTTATTCTTTTTTTTTTTTTTTTTTTTTTTTTTTTTTTTTTGAATAGAGTGTACGAGAGTGAGAAAGAGAGAGAGACTTAATATATTCGATGTACTTTATATTTTGAAAATTCTCAAAAGAGTTCTCAAAAATCTGTACGTCGTATTACATTACAAATTATATTATTACAATTTCAATTAACATTTTAATATGCCTTTTCCTTTAAATAGTAATCATTTATATCAAGATTATTGTTTTAATTTTAAATAATTTGCAAATTCATAACTTGCTTAACGTGTATATAAGGCTTTTATTATTAAATATGGACGCGAAGCATAAAACAGAGGACAACATTTTTTTTTTTCAACTATTAATTTATATATTTGGCTAACCGATCTTGTAAAAATAACAATGTTCATTTGCATCAGATTAAGAATTTATTGTT